TATAGAAACAAAAAGAGCCCTATAAATAAGTATACAATAGTTGCATAGCTGCTGCCATACAAACAGGGGTAGATCTGGGATCTTCTCTGTACAATATTACAATTTAATAAATGCTAATAATATATTAAATTTGCAACCTGGACGATTCRTGATAATCAAAATATGTATTTTTGACACTAGCTTTAAATGTTAAAAATGATGGCGATTCAGATGTTACAGGCAAGATGACGGCCTTCCACAGTTTTTGACATAACGCTACTAGCAAAAATAAGTGTTTTGAATTAAAAGGCTAATAATGTTTTACTTAATTTTTTCCAACACTCTCCTTGTAGTACTAACAGAGAGGAAGATTTAGTAAGAGTTGAATAAAGTGTAAAATGATAAAAAATAATCATTGCGACAGAAAGAGAGACAASRSAMKMKACTAGCASGGAAGGTTTTTCACCTTTTATTGATGCACTGTYTAATACAGCTGAATGGCAACTGACTTGAGGCTACATTGTATTCGCTGCAAGAGGAGGTTGAGTTACTGCAACCTTGGTAGAACTCTGCTGCAACTGAAATACATCTATATTAAAATGACATGGAATACATGAACTGTTTTTTCCATTTTCAACAAATATCGCGTTTTGTTGTTTGTTGCTGTTTTTTCTGGCATTTCTTTATGACAATATGGTCAGTTTTATCAGAAAAATCTGCAGGCATTGGTCAATATTATCACAAAAGGGGTTACATCCCAGTGTGATTAAACGATATATATACAGACATTAATTTTAGAATCGRGAAAATGTGCTGTAATTAAAATTGAGAAGAGAAGCTTTAATTTGCTGCAAAGAAAAATGACAAAATCCCGAAGAAAGTAGAGGAGTTTGGGATAAAGAGGAAATTGCACGTGTCTAGGTACAAAGGGGGAAAAGTTGTCCRGGACATAACCAAGCCATTTATTACAAGCAATGTCATATACAATGAATTTAATTGAGCGTATACAAGAGTCAATTATAAACTTATTAATYAAAACAATGCATTAGTTGTTTAGATTAAATCGGGCGTGAACCAATAATCACGTAGCATGGATGCGATGTGCTGTGTATAAAATCATCAAAAGTCAGAAGAAAATGTCATTTAAGCTTAACTTATGCAATAACTTTATGTTGAAAGCTTTTGAGACAGTGTCAACAACAAGAAACTTTGRAAAAATGTCAGAGTGCAGGGCTCGTATTAGCTATCGTGAGAGCTATCGACCGAAATGCATGTTGTTGTTGAAGACGGGTTCGTGATTTATGGAGGCTATCAGATCTTATAATTTCATTCACACTCGTAGATGAAGACATCTCACCACCTTTTTCCTACCAAGAAATTATGTTGGCATTGATTATAGGCCAAGAGGGAACAGTCTGAGCTATTAACAAGAAAATCGAGACAAAAAAAGGCTTATTVACACACTTAAAACTCCGTGTCAAATTGACCACATACCTTCGTGAACTCGAGCACAATACAAGATTATCGAAACAAAAATGACCCCAAATATCGACGTCCAAGTTGCCATTTAGTATTTATGAGTGCATGAACCGTGTTAAATGATAATGATTACTTAGCTTCTTGGTCATCAAATAACCTTGCTTTTTGGGAAGCGACATTGCTTGATCGTGTTGACTTCGTACGTGCATTCTATTCTACTAGTTCCCAGGATTCTCAGCTCTGTGCTATCGAATTTCAACAATTTCCTCACATGGTTCACTTGTTTATAATTCGGTTCCTATATTTTATTATTCCATCATTCAAACACAATAAAAATTTMCTTTACACGGCAACCTAATATAAGTATACTAAGTTAACGTTTCTCAAAAATCCTCCTGCATGGTGCGCCACGCAAGACACGGTTTTTTTTGTTTTTTTTTTTTGAGTTCCTGTTCAGCGTCGCTTTTATTTTCTCTCACATGAACAGCTCGACGTATATGGATCAATTTTAAAAGTTCAGCACGATTGTAGACTTCACCAAGTCGGACTATCTTTTACTTCCATCATGGATAATAAAATCACTTTTATTATCCATGCTTCTATTATCCATGCTTTTATTATCCATGCTTCCATGAATAGGCGAATATTGAGCGCGGAGCGCGAGAGGCGAGCCGATGCGGAAGCAGAGGAACGGACTTTGCAAAAGTCTACACGATTGCAGCATAAAGGCACGGCAGCGCCAGTTGTGCTCACGCAGCGGATCTATAGGGGTGCTAACCATATTATAACGTGTTTTACGTCTTTTTTAAAATAATGGACGCACATAGAGTGAAWTCATTTAGTTTAATTAATTAGAGTGAGGTGCAAAATCACAAGCCATATCTTTAATATATGCCCGTCAAAGTCGYCCTCCATCGCCCGCCCCTCACACGCCCCCGTAAACCACCTTTTTTTTGGTATTTTGGCCAGGATATCTTTTGTGATAAAAAAGAAACCAGCAATCGGGTTCARATAAATCCCGTCAAATTAACAAAAAGATGCTAAAAAGAGTGTGTTTTCCTGCGTGATCTCAGTTTCCAGATTTTCACTAGTGCCAGTCCTAACCGTGACAGACCGAGGTAGGCTGGTAGATTTGTTTTCAAGTCAGCCCGCCGAAGATTAGTCCAGCCAGCCAGCCGTGTGAACAAGGGCTTTTTTTATMAAAGAAACATCAATTTAAAGGACTCTTTCATATCAATACCGAATCATCGAACTCAAATAACCATTTATGTATAAATATAATGCAGAAATATGAAAAGCTGGAAAAGATCGGCGAAGGTAGGCCAAAGGGACGAGAGCGAAACACTGGGATTTCAATGATGTCATTTGATGTCAAAGATCGTTCTGTCACGATCTGACAATTTTTGGTTATCAACATTTGATATTTGGATGTTGTCTCTGGATTCTAGGAACCTATGGAACTGTATTTAAAGCGAAAAACAGAGAAACTCACGAAATTGTTGCTCTGAAGCGCGTTCGCCTCGATGAGGATGATGAGGTTCGCATGTGTCTTTTCACTATCTATTTTTGATGACTCTTTCAGTATTCTTATTTGTTAATTTTGTTTATTATTGAGTATTTTATTGAGCTAAAGATTTGCTTTTATGTAGGGAATTCCAAGCTCCGCTTTAAGGGAAATCTCCATCTTAAAAGAATTGAAACACAACAATATTGTTAGGTTAGTCTGTGCACAAAATGAAATAATGCAAAGTTGTCTTGGATGGAATACCTTTCCTTATTCACTTTTTGTATTCTTTAAATGTTTTATATGGTTATAATGTGTAAATATCAAAGAAATCTCAGTTTTATAAAGCTTTTATGGTTTTTTTACTTATCATATGTAAGTCAAAAGAATTTCGCAGCAGCCAAAATTCTAATGAGTCGACTTTACTCAGTATGATAATGATGAATTCAAAATGCCTCATTTCTTAGACAAGCCTTTTAACCACCAATGTATGCATGTTTGTACACAAAGATTGTGTTCATCAATATTTGTCTTGACAAGAAACCAGATATATGTCCAGTGGTTTCTTGACAAAGTGTTACAGTGTATAAGCCAGTCAAGATTGCAGACATTTCTAATGATATATTCTTTGATCTGGGCAGACTTCATGATGTTTTGCATAGTAATAAAAAGCTCACCCTGGTTTTCGAGTTCTGTGATCAGGTATGTTATAGTAGATAAGTGTAATCCAGCTTGTTAACTAAGAATGTAATACAACAATTGCCACTGTACAATTGCCGAGTACAAATTCTCCCTTCTCACTTGTCAGATGGCTGATAAGGGGGAAGGGAGAATAAAGCAGATTTTGTATGAGTGGGAAAGGGACAGTACTGTACTGTGGCCGTAATCGTACTGTAACCAAATTCTAGTGCCCCATTGGTTCACAAAAATTGTGCAGGACAGCTCCGGTAACTGTGAAGTAATCGTGTTGTAATTTCTACCGTGCGTTTCCTACTAATACGAAATTGACTCTATTAAGGACCTCTGAAACAGTGAAGATTGAAGAAAACCTTGAAGTGCATTTTAGCACCATCACACTGTTTCAAACGTATTGAATGTTTAATGATTATCAATAAGATTAAACTGAATGTAATATTTTATTTTCCCCTGAAGGATCTAAAAAAATACTTTGACAGTTGCCAAGGAGAAGTAGATGCTCATGTTGTCAAGGTATTTGCTGTTTCCAACCACAATGCACTGCAGAGTTATGGCATGATTTACAGATCATCAATTCAATTAGTTCAAACTGATTAAAATTAAAATATTTCACATTTTAACAACCCAACAAAACAGTAGAGGAACAGCAGAAGACATACTTTTACATGCACCATAATTAAAGGCTCAATATAACTGTAAATGTCTTTTCAAACCCATTTGTATAATCACTTTTTAAAGAACACTAAGATTAAGGGTGTACATTACCCATGACATCTTTCTTATATTTAAAATGGTTTGAACTAGCGGTATACTAGTATGAGATGTGTCAGTGTTTTTAAAGAAACAGTTTTGTAAAAAGATAAATTTAACACCGTAACAAAAGTAGGTGAAATAGCTTGCTGACGTTTCCCTCTTTACTCCGACAATTGATTAATGTCTGAAATGACAGTCACTTTTTTTTCGGTGTTAAATTTATCTTTTAAAAAACTGTTTCTTATATTTTTTACTAAACTTGAGGAGGTTCACTGGTGTTACACTAGGCGTATAAGCATAGACACCTGCTGCTGTSACACTAGTCTCAATTGGTCAGTGGAATATGACCTAGTTCTGTTCCTGCATGTCCATATAACTCAGGATGATTCCACCCATGTCATCTTGCCAGCTATTAAAGTTCTTATAACTATTTTTTTTGGCTAGCTACTGTAGATTTATTTAGCCTGTAGTTAAAATGCATTGTAGCAACTGCTGCAGTGAGGCATTATCTGACATGATCAGGCCCATGTTTTGACATGGTGTATTATGTACATTCTATAAACTTTTATTTCCAGTTAAAAGTGGATTTTATAGGATTCTAGTAATAGATACACTAATTGTTTTGTTTGTTCTTTAGTCATTTATGTTCCAACTTCTTCGTGGTTTGGCATTTTGTCACAGTCACAGTGTTCTCCACAGAGATCTCAAACCTCAAAACCTACTGATTAATAAGGTAAATTATCTAAAAAATAACTGTACTAGGTAAACCAGTTCTTTTCTGTCTTTTTTCCATTCAAAGCAAGCAACCACTGCTTTAGTTGACAACAGTCTCTCATATGTAGAGACCGTACCAAATCCAAAAGAAAGCATGAGAAAATGTCATTACAGTAGCCTAAAAATTTGCATTTGCTCAGATTTAAGGCTAAGCCTGCATTTCCAGAAGGTCAAACTCCAGTTCTTGTGGGAATACAGGCTTAATTAACCTCAAATCAGAGAAGATTCAAATTTCTAGAGCTATTGTAATGCCAACATTTTTTCATGCTTTCTTTTCTTCTTCATGCAAGTGAGTATGTTGTCTACGAAAACAGCGGTCCATCACATTGAACAGGAAAAAGACTTAATACTTTTGACTGGTTCATAAGAAAAATGTTTTTAATATTGACTCTATGACTATGAAACACAGGATGGTGAGCTAAAGCTGGCAGACTTTGGACTTGCAAGGGCATTTGGCATTCCTGTAAGATGCTATTCTGCTGAGGTAATGTACAATATAAAATATTTAAACAATAGAATAGTTGAATCGAGGGCATTATGCTGTCGCCCACAGAAATTTGATGTTCCAAAAACAAACAATCAACCAAGAACGCAGTTCAATCATGTCATGTGGTGGACTCTCCACCTATGAGAGGGGAGAAATATTTGTTGTTGAATTACAATACTTTACATATAGTCGATTGGCAAGGTTGTCGTCGACCGGGTTTCACGAAACGCGACTTGCCCGAATTGGTTTCTGGGTAAAAATCAATGACCTGGCAAAGTAGAGATTTGAACGCCTTTGCGATTGGAAGAGCTGACAGATAATGTGTGACAAATATTTCCAAATATTTGCCAGTTCATTGATTTTTTTCCCAGAAACCTGTTCAGGTGGGTCACGTGCTACAAATTCCAGTTGACATCAACCTTTTGTCAATCAACTATATATGTACTGGCTTGTTTACAAGATAGAATGGTTGCGATTGATTGTATAATTATTATATGACAAAAGAAATATGACTTGAGCAAATATGTTTGCTCACACAATGATTTAACTACTCAACCTAAAATAATTATGATAATAATAAATAAAATAATAAAATAAAATAATTCTGATAATAATAGATAAAATAATAAAATAAGATAATTCTGATAATAATAATTTGATTGTTGGCTGGCTCCTATTTTTTTGCCCATACCATTGTAGGTAGTGACATTGTGGTACAGACCTCCAGATGTTCTTATGGGTGCCAAGCTTTACTCAACGTCTATTGATATGTGGTCAGCAGGTTGTATATTTGCAGGTAATATATCATGACTTGTGCAATATCATGCATGTAGATATTA